TAGTAATGAGACTAAAATGACTATAACCTTATTGGCTGCAAAGTGATCACAAACTTGCACAGATGTTATAGTTCTTCTATGCTTTGTAAATAACGAAAGTACGTCGTGAGCTCGTCATGGAGTAAATTGGAAGTACCCATTTTCGAAATAGATTGGAGGAAGGTTTAAACTATCCTTGAGCAGTGCTACTTCATAATCATCTCGAGGCTTAACTGAAGGTGATGGTAAATATGTCCAATCATCAAAATTTTGGAAGTAAAAATCTTCCAGCAAGGTTGGACTTGACGATTGTAATATTGGTGTTGCCAATCAAGATTGTCTCGATATATTCGGAAAGAGAACATTCATCATAGCATCTACACCGTCATTAACAAGATTGTTGGTGAGAAGCCCAAGTCTATTTCGCAGAGCTGTAATTGTTGTGGAACTATTGGTATTAAGGTGATGTTCCAAGTAATTCAATACCGTATTAAAATCTTAAGTTATAGAAAATAAAAAAAAAAATATAAAATAAGTTTATTAAAGTAATATTCTTTACAGAAACTTGAATGTCTTCATGCACAGTAACTGCATAGTGACTATATAGTTACTAGATAGTTATGATATAGTTATTATATAGTTACTATGTAGTTACTGTGCATTAAGATATTCAGATTTCTGTATAGTTAATTAATAAAAAAAAAAAAAACTGATCAAGCTTTTAGTAACTACATAGCGACAATATCGCGACGATATCGCAACGATATCGTAACAATATTGTAACGATATTGTTGCTATGTAGTTACTAAAAGCTTGATTCTTTTATAGATATTAATATTTTTTAAAAATAATACCAGGAGTGACAGGTGAACTTTGAATTTCATATGATACTGGTTGCGAAACTGGTTGAGATTGTGGTTGAGATTGTGGTTGAGATTGTGGTTGAGGTTGTGGTTGAAATTGTAGTTGAGGTCGGATGGGTTGAGACTGGGACCAAGACCAGAGTTGTCGAACAGAGGATTGGAATGGTTGAACAGGTTGAGAGTTGATTGAATGGGTTGGACAGGGTAGGATTGCCATTGAACGGGCAGTTGAACGGGCTGGGGTAAAGATTAAAATTGTTGAACGGGTGGCAGTTGAACAGGCTGGGGTGAAGATTGAAATTGTTGAATGGGCTGTTGAACGGGCTGCTGAATGGGCTGTTGAACGGGCTGCTAAACGGGCTGTTGAACGGGCTGTTGAACAGGCTGGGGCGATGATTGAAATTGAACTGGGTAGGTTGATGATTGAAGTTGTTGGACAGGATAGGTTGAGGAAAATGATTCGGTTCGAGAAGGAGTTCTTCATTTTTTAGGATTCATTTTTTTTTTTTTTAGAAAGTAATATTTTGAAAAAAAAAATTTATAAAATAAAAGAAAAAAATTTCTTTTAAAAAATAAATTCCAAAAAGTTTCGTTATGAAAAATTACCAAAAAATTTTGTCATGCAAAATTATTCGTCATGCAAAAATTATTCGTCATGCAAAAGTTTTCGAATAATTTTTCGGCCGATCCGATTAAGTTATGATTTCGGCATAATAGATTCAATAAAAATTGTTACGTACGTACGTACAACTGTTATACGTATATAAGTACAGTCCAATTTTTTATTGGGTATATAGTAAAGTAGTATGGTACAGAAACGTAAATTAGGATGGACGTGTAGAAATTATGATAGTACGTACGTTGTAAAAGAAAAAAGTTGTAAAACCCAAAATACTTTTCCTATAATCCTAACATAAAAAAAGGACAATACTAGCGCTTACCCTAACCCTAACCATCAAAAAGCAATTTATAAAAAGTGAAACTTGCAAGTCTTTATTAACCGTACATATGATCAAAAGTTGGTATAATTTTCGTATGTCCGTCCAAATTTGGACTGCCGTACAGTACTACTTTACTAAATACCTGTGCAATAATTATAACAGATACGTAACATATGTACATAATAGTTATATGTACGTACATACATACTTACGTATGTACCAACTTTTACTGAATCTATTATGCCGAAATAATAACCGGATCAGCTGAAAAATCACCTGGCTAATTTTTTACAGATGTCCCAAGAATTATGAAAACAGCTGTAATCGACTATTAGTAACCGGGTAAAATTCACCACCCAAATTTGTTTCAGATCATGCGATATGATTTTAAAAAAGCATCAGTTCATTACATTATTCTAAGTTAGAATAACGATACTCAATAAATCATATCGCGTAATCTGAAAAAAATTTGGGTGGTGAATTTTACCCGGTTGAATATTTTAGCTATACAAAATAATAGAAAGGAACTACTATACAGAAACCTGAATATTTAATGCACAGTAAACTATATAGTAACGATGTAATAACGATGTGATAACAATGTAGTAACTATGTAGTTACTATTAAATTATATAGTCATGATGTAGTTACTGTGTATTAAGATATTCAAGTTTCTGTAAAGTAGTAAAAACCAAAAGCTAACGATTAACCATGTAGAATAGCACAATTCGAATGCCATTCAAACTGCTATTCAACAATATTTCACGACTTCACGAACATAAATGTTCGTGAAATCATGTGATAGTGTTGTATGGCAATTCGAATGGCAGTTTGAATGACATTCGAATCATACCATTCAACATGGTGAATCTTTTAAATTTTACTAGTGGAAATGGCTTTGTATAAAGAAGATGTCAAAAAAGAATGTAAGTTATTACTAATGGGAAGTATAAAGGCTTGCATTTTGGTAAACTACAAATTACGTGAGCAAGTGCGAAGTAAATCAATCTATAACGATAATAAATCGGCTAAGCCGATTTTTTGTCCTGGTCGATCGATTTTTTCTAAAATCGGCTAAAATTCCGTTTAGAATATTGTTAATCGTGATGTCGCAGGTTACAAGAATTGACATTATGTATGGATAGGTTTTTTATTTGCATCAGTTTATTTTTCATTTTTACTCTTTACTAACCAATTTTTTTTGTCGTCATTTGAAGTTTCATCAATTTCAGGTGTCGTATTGTCATAATCAGGTTTACCGTTGTCTATTTAAGTGTCGTTACGTTCAAGTATCGTTTTTACAGAAACTTGAATATCTTAATGCACAGTAACTACATGGTAACGATGTAGTAACTATATAGTTACTATTAAATTTAATAGTAACTATATAGTTACTACATCATTATTATGTAGTTACTGCGCATTAAGATATTCACTCTATAAAAATTTTTATCTGAATATTCCCATTATTTCTCTGTAGCCTCCGTAAAAATTCCATGAAAATGATACATTTACGGATATCTGTATTTGGGAGATGAAAATTTCCATGATTTAAGGTTATAAATTCCATGAAAACGAAACATTCATAAAAAAACATGGAATAATAAACACGAATCAACATTTTTTTATAGGGTCAGGTTTCTGTATAGGTTGTTTTTAGGAGCTTGTTGGTATTAAAGGTTTTGTGCGTATCTATTTTTTAATCTGTTTGTTAGGATTAATCCTTTCCTCTTTTTTGCAGATCTCATTTTCTTTGAAGTTGTAATCGAATAACTGGAACATGAGAGATTAATAGATTTTTTTTTTTTTTTTTGCTTAATACTAACATTTTTTAGTGTTTAATGAGAGTTTTAGCGACATTTTGGGATGGTTATATATGTTATAGAAGTGTGAATTGGAGGTTTACCAGGTCTAGCAGCCTAAAACACAACAAAGATTAAGGCTACTTAAAAGATGCCGTAAAGATTTGGTCTGAGAACCAAGGAATCTACTGCCATTATGATCACTGGGTTACTATTAGTGATGCCGTAGAATCGTCCCAATGAAGTTGAATGATAGTTGTCACATGCCGTAACTATAGTAAATAATAAGTAAAGTTACGGCTATAATGTCGTAACTTTGCTATGTTATTTACGGCAAGTTACAGCTATGTGACAACTATCATTCGACTTCATTGGGATGATTCTACGGCATCTCTAGTTACTATACAGAAACCTGTATATCTTAATGCGCAGTAACTACATGGTAATGATGTAGTAACTATATAGTTACTATTAAATTTAATAGTAACTATATAGTCACTATGCAGTTACTATATGTTAAGATATTCAAGTTTCTGTAAAGTAGATAATCTTTATTATTATGATTATTACTTTGTTATCTATACACACTGATCATTTTTTTACATGAAATTGATAAACTTTTATATATTACAAACAGCATTGGGACTTTGCTATGATTAAGTTCTTACAAGCAATATGGTTATTTGGAGCATCGGGGGATTTATAGCTAATGATACACGTTTATATGACAGTTCCCACCTTGTGAATATCAGAGATGTCTTACTATTATTCTCAATGAAGCTTCGCCTCAAGCTCAACCCGAATTAGCATTAATAAATACCTTCGCTTTTTGTCAATTAATGCTCCAAGTTATATGGTTTGGACCATGATTTTGGTAACTACGGCCAGGTCGCTACAACGTTCATAGTGATTTTCTTCAATATTCTGTGGCGATAAGTTTGGTAGTGGTTCTTCGTGTTTTTGTTGGTGGATTTTTTTTACAATGTCAGCATAATTACTTCTTTTATAGTGATTATCTTCGACATTCTATTTGGAATAGTTGAGTTTTTTAGGTTAGAGTTAGTATTTTGCATGCCTAGATAGAGTTAGACTTAGGGTTTGTTTAAAGATTGTGTTAGTGTTTGGAAATTAATATAATAAAGCTCGTATACAACAAAATATTCATTACGTGGCGAAGGATGTTTATCATGCAATGATAGTACTTCTATACAGAAACCTGTATATCTTAATGTGCAATAACTAGCAATAACTATATGGTAATGATGTAGTAACTATATAGTTACTATTAAATTTAATAGTAACTATATAGTCACTATGCAGTTACTATGCGTTAAGATATTCAAGTTTCTGTAAAGTTGTTTAAAAAAAAAAATAATAAATTATTAAAAAATAAATAAATTAAATTCTTAATTAAAAAATAATAAAAAATAAATTTTATT